CTCATGGTGTGGTGACAAGCTGCTCCTCTCTCATCCCCATCCTTTGTTTCCTCCATCTCCCTAGGTGCATCTCAGATCCTGAGCCATGTCCTGCTGCAACCCATGTCAGCCCTGCTGCCAGCCCTGTGGCCCAGCCCCGCTGGCCAACAGCTGCAATGAGCCCTGTGTGCGGCAGTGCCAGAGCTCCACCATTGTCATCCAGCCCTCCCCTGTGGTGGTGACCCTGCCCGGACCCATCCTCAGCTCCTTCCCACAGAACACCGCTGTGGGCAACTCCACCTCCGCTGCTGTTGGCAGCGAGGGCGTGCCCATCAACTCTGGGGGCTTTGACCTCTCCTGCATCACCAACCGCTACTGTGGCAGACGGTGCCCCCCCTGCTAAAGCTGATTACAATGGCCTTGGACAAGGACCCCAGGAACTCAGAACACAGTGCTCAACAGAGGATCAAACTTCATGCCATTGTTTTAAGAGCTGCTGACTATCTCTGGCTTATCCTGCAGGGCCAAGACTGAAAGGATCAGTTTGAGATCTTCAAAGTCATGGCCAACATATCTCTTTCTTGTCTTCCACTCATTCTCTCTTCTCTTTGTTGTCTTGTTCTTCTGTCAAAGCCTGCTGTAAGGACTCCAGAGACCAGCCTGCAGGGACCTGCTAGCCTGTCTCCCTTTGCTAGGCAGGTCCGCAGATGGCCTGTAGGATCTCTGCCACAGGAAAAGGGAACCAGACTCTTGATTGATTCTGATGCTCCTGACACTGGGGACCTTCCCTAGGACTGACCTAATTTTGCTCTTTAGATTCATTACAACATTGCTGCAAGCCTGCCTCTGTCACTTAGGTGGTTTCTCTTTCTGCGTTGTGAGTGCTGAGGGAGAACGACATTGCTTTGGAGGGCAAAGAGGTGAGGGTACACAGGAAACATTCATCCGTGCTGGAGGCATTGGAAGGTGAAAGTAGCAGAGTAGAGAAGCAATAACCTTTCAACAAAACGCCTTTCCCTGGGGTCAGTGGCTCTTCTCACAGCCACAAGTTGTCTGTGCCAGTCTCATTCTACCTCCATCTCTTCTCTTGCTCTTCTTCCACACAGACTGACAGACAAACATCTGTCCATACTTCTCCAGGCACTCATCCATCTCCTCTACTGCATGATCCTCCCTGCAAGGGAGCCAGAAATTACAGACTGCTGCATGTCAGTGGTGGGAAAGATGAGAGAAGTCTGGCTGAGAGCTGTTGGTGTGTTGGCTCTAGGGAGATGGGTTATGATGAGACCCCCAAAGACTGAGTATCCCTCTGGAACAGTGATTGTCTGTCCATTCAGGACTACATGGCGTCCTCTACAGGCAGTAAGGAGCAGCCTCACCTTCACAGACCCTGGTCTTCATGGGGAACTCCAACCACCATGATATCTGCTGGAGGAACAACACAGTAGGATGCAAGAGAGCCAGGAAGTGCTCCTGGGGTGGGTGCAGGACAACTTCATCACACAAGTGACAGGTGAGGTGTTGTGCTGCACCTCATATGTAACAAGAAGGAAGGGCTTGTTGCGGATGTGAAGATTAAAGGCAGCCTGGGCTGCAGTGACCATGAAAGGGTGAAGTTCAAGATCCAGAAGGGAGGGAGGAGGGTAACCACAAGTTTGCATCTCAGGCTTTTAAGACAGACGACTTTGGTGTCTCCCAAGATCTACATGGAAAATTGCTTAAGGTAAGCGTGGCCCAAGAAAGCTGCCCAAAATTCAAAAATTACATCCTCCCAGCTCAAAACCAATCTGTCTCATAGAGAAGAAACAGAGGAAACAGTAAGAGGAAGCCTGCATGGAAAGCGTGGCAAAACTAAAACACAAGAAGGAAGAATACAGAAGATGGCAACAAGGGCGAGGAACCTGGGAGGTCCACACACGCAAGGCTGTGGCTAGGTTAGATAAAGCCCAAGTGGAACTGAATCTGGTGATGACTGTCAAAGAGAAGAAAAAGATCTTCTGTGAGGTCAGGGATGACAAAGGAAGGCTAGGGGAAATGTGGTGCCACAGCTGAATGGCTGGGCCTTCTCTAAATCATAGAATCATAGATTACTGGGTTGGAAGGGACCTCAAGGATCATCTCATCCAATCCTTTAAGGTAAAGAAATACAGTTTAAACGAGATGGTCTGGTACCCTTTCAAGCTGAGCCTTAAAATTTTCTAAGGCTGGAGAATCCATCACTTCTCTTGGAATATTATTCTGATGTCTAATTGCTCTCATGGTGAAAAATTGTCTTCTGGAGTACAATCAGAATTTCCCCACGAGTTACTTTTATTCATTACCCCTTCTCTTATCCATGTGATTCCTCATAAAAAGAGAATCTCCAACTTCTTGGTAGTCACCCTTTATCTAATGGTACATAGTAATAAGGTTTCCCCTGAGCCTCCTCTTCTCAAGACTGAACAAACTGAGTTCTCTCGGCTTTTCTTTATATGGCGAGTCTTCTAGTCTCCTAATCATCCTTGTGACTCTTCTCGGGACCCTTTCAAACTTGTCTGCACCTTTTTTGTATAGCAGGGACCAAAATTGAACAAAGTACTCAAGGTGTGTTCTGACCACCACTGAGTAGAGTGGTAAGATGATTTCTTTATCTCTACTAGTATGCCCTTGTTAATGCAGCCCAGCACCCTATTTGCTTTTCTTGCTGCTGTTCACTCATGTTGAGCCTGCTGTCTAACAAGGTTCCTCTCTACAGGGCTTCTCTTCAGCCAGGTAGATCCCAGTCTGAGCTGCATTCATGGGCTGTTATTCACAGGTGCAAGACCTTACACTTGTCCCCATTGAACCTCCTAAGGTTCCTGCTAGACCACTCCTCCAGCCTGTCCAGGTCTTCCTGGAGGGTGACTCTCCCATCTGGAGGGTCAACTTCTCCACTCATGTTGGTGTCATCTGCAAGCTTCATTAGAGTGGTCTTGATCTCAATATCCAGATCATTTATAAAGATACTAAATAACGGTGGGCCCAGTATTGACCCCTGAGGGACCCCGCTTGTGACTGGGTTTCAGTTTGAGAAGGAACTACTTACTACCACCTTCTGGTTACAGTCTGTCACCCAGTTCACAACACACCGCACAAACCACTTGTTTAGGTTGTAATGTGTCACTTTCTCAAGGAGCAGCCTGTGGGGGACTGTATCAAAAGCCTTGGAGAACTCCAAGTATTCAATGTCCACTACTGGCCCTGCATCAACTGAATGGGTTACTTTGTTGCCGATGCTCTACAGCCTCTTTAAACAGGACATGGAAAATGCCGAGGTACTGAATGTGTTCTTTGCCTTAATCTTTATGAGTAAGATCATTCTTTAGGAATCCTAGGTCCCTGAAATCAAGGAGGAAGTCTAGAGTAAGCGAGAAATACTCTTGCAGTTAGAGGATCAGGTGAGGAGTATTTAAGCAAAGTGGAGTTCTGTCGTAAAATTTTTCCCTTTTGTGGGAAATGGTAACACAGGTGATTTCCAAGGCAAAAGTCTTCCCTGGACATCTGTGTGCCATGTCAGGCAGTGATTCCTCTCTTCACACATCCTGTTTTCCAGCCCCAGTGGTAGTAGAGAATGCACAGAGCTTTGATTTTGAACAGTGTTGAAAAAATGGGGGAAACAACTTTGCAGCATTTGATACTGAAACTGTGAGGCAGGATGCTTAGTTTCATGGGTAAAAGAGTCCGTGAA